TGAATCTGGATGCCAGTTCCGACTTACATACAGATTCAACTTAAGAACAAACCTACAGTCCCTATCTTGTACGTAACCCGGGGACTGCCTGTAATGCAATTCAAAGTCTTAATATGGTATGTTTAGATATAATTTTGTACTTGGAAAAAGAAAAAAACCACAGTTGAAAATAAGTTCTACTCACTAACTGGAGGGGAAAAAAAAAAACAAACAAAAAAAAACACAACAGTACCTAGACATTAAATTTTGAAAGTTAGTCACTGAGCATGCTCAGCCCTGAGCCATATAGTCTGGTCCTTTCCAGAAAACTCTACTCTGGAATCTAAGCTTTTATTTAAATAATATATATATACACAAAAAAGCCAAACCTGGCTCTCATAGTTCCAATTAAAATATCTGGACAAGAACAGATTGTAACCTGATGCAGCACTGTATTCCTCTATTTTCAGGCAACTTAATATATGTATTTATGAGAAGCTGTCCTATATCAGGTTCCAAAAAACAAACCTCTAAACTCTCTTTCAACAATTTGTACAGGGCAATGCAAAATAAAAGCTAGTAGCTTACTGAAAACTGAAAGTTATTTTAATATACACACAAACCTGCTAATGAACTTTAGTTTACCATAGCAGAAAGTAGGGAACCTTGCATAAACTTAGCACAAGCTCACTTCACAGTAAATAGAATTTATATTTAGACACACAGAAAGTAAGTTTACCTAGTTGACTGACTGCTCCTTTTGGGGCGTTGGATACAATTTTTTTTTTACACTATTCACTAGGGATGCAAAAGGTTAACCAGTAAGTCCCAATTCTAGTTAACCAGTAGAGGCTGGAACAGCTCCTTATCTATCCTGGCTTATTTAAGCTTTATACTGGAGAGCCTGATGCACTTGTAATTCTTACAATTTTAGCAGTTATATGGTTACATGTTTAAACTCATTTTTACACCCTTATATTTACTCCTCCCATGGATCCTCCCAACCCCACCTGAAGCCCTTTCCTGCCCACAGAAGCCCCATGTTGTGGTTACCCTCCTCCACAGCAGAACATTGGTATGTCTGCACATAATCCTTTATAGCAGCACAACTGCTCAACTACAGTGTAGAAGATGGAGTCCCCCATTGGCACAAGTAATCCACCTCCCCAAGGAGGAGAAGCTATGTTGACAGACTTTTTCTGTAAACCTAACACTGTCTACGCCGGTGGGAGGGGAGAGGAGCTAGGTCTCAATGGTGTGGACTTGCTACATCTCAGAGACCCAATAATAAAAAAGTGCCCTGTATAAACCAGCCCTTCAACTGAACATGTCTCCCTAGTGGAAGTGCTAGTGCTATCTGTCAGCTAAATACAGGCTTACTAACAAGCTGTGCGCTTTTCTTCCATGGCCAGGGGTTGAGCCTGCTCTGTGAAATGCTTCTAGCTTTTATAAACACTGTAATATACAAAAGGCCTGATAACAGGATTTCATTGAATTGACAGCACTGAATTTTCACTATTCTATGAGAGTTTTAAAGAGCCTGCAAGCCATCTTTACAGCTATAAAGGAGGCTGAAGCCAAGACTTTGTTCCTAATAAGCTTCTATACTAAATAAACTGGACCATAATCCATACACAAATTGATGACCCCTCTTTTCTCCAACTTCAGTAGCCAGTGGAATGTACTCATACTCTGCAGCTGTAAAATTGTGTACACTAAGTTTTAAAAACAAGGTGTTTTGTTTAAATTTGAAGTCTTTGGTTTTTAAACCTGTTGATATACATATATGTCCCTTCATGCTTTCACCCCCATTCCAGAGAAAGAACTCCTCATTGGCTTGGAAGCACTGCTTGGTAACAACCCAAAGAAGCATGGAGTGACATGTTCCTTTTCATCATCAGAGTCACATACCATCAGTAGAAAATAGTTTCTTTTTTAGCCGTTGCAGTTGTGTAGTTTCTACCTCATAAGTATGTGTTAGGGATGTTAGCAAACATTTATTTTTGTAAATGTGTAACTGCTGAATTATTCAGCAATTACATGTTTACATATAGAGGAGGCAGGCGGAGCCAATGCTGGCAGGGAGCCAGCTTTTAAGCCAGCCTTCTGCGAGTGCAGCTCCTGACACCCTCTCCCCCTCAACTTCTGCCCCAAAAGTAAGCTGTACTTGTACTGTAGCACAATCACTGTCGTAATTAAATAAAGTGAACTGAACGACTGTCATTTTTACAGTGCAAATATTTATAATCATAAGCAATAACGTGAGCACAGTACACTTTGTATTTGGTGTTGTAACTGAAATAAGATATATTTGAAAACAGAAAGATATCCAAAATATTTAATTCATTTCAACTGGTATTAACAGCATGATTAAAACAGCGATCAATTTTTTTTAATCGTGATTGTGAGTTAATGGCAATTAATCAACAGCCCTAATTTAAACCAACTCGGCTTTTATGAAAAAAGTATGACATGTAGAAGAGATTATGGCATCAGGTGTTTTTGTAATGATCTACTAGAATTCATCTGGGAGGGCTGTTGGACTAGTTACAGCTCATCCACACCGCAACATCTGATCAAACTTGGTTAAGCTACAGCACATCGTGTTCTCTCTAACACACACTTTTGGTTTGTTCTTTTCCCATCATCAGCAAGACACTTTTTTGTAAGAACTTCACTCCCCTGGGAATCCTGCCAAAAGGCATCAGAATTTCTCAATACAGAAAGCAGGACTGTCCTAAAACCAATTAATTAAAAGAATGCCTCAAAAAAAATTAGTTAGGAAACAAAATCTTGCAAAAATTACAAATTTTTATCCCCGAGTAATTTATTGCTCAGATCTGTCAAGAGATCTGTTAAACTTTCGAGAACTTTCATGTACATAAAGGTGGAGTCACAATTAAATATTCGTGTTACGAAACCAGACACTTACTGTTTGATCTGTTCCAGCTTGGTCTCCTCTGCCTTGATATAATCTTTCAGTGATGTCACTAGATCTTTTTCTGTGTTAATTAAGTCTGTCATGTGACCTAGAGAGGAAGCAATGATTTCAACTGATTATCAGATCTCCTTGCTCCTCATCATTTAGATCACTCTCTCTCAAACCCCAGTCCATGGAAGCAATGATTTCAACTGATTATCAGATCTCCCTGCTCCTCATCATTTAGATCTCTCTCTCTCTCTCTCTCAAACCCCAGTCCACGAACATTCTCTAGTCCCGGAGATCTCCCTGACAGTTTAGTAAGGGACCCCAAAAGTAAGCTGTACTTGTACTGTAGCACAATCACTGTCGTAATTGAATAAAGTGAACTGAACAACTGTCATTTTTACAGTGCAAATATTTATAATCATAAGCAATAACGTGAGCACAGTACACTTTGTATTTGGTGTTGTAACTGAAATAAGATATATTTGAAAACAGAAAGATATCCAAAATATTTAATTCATTTCAACTGGTATTAACAGCATGATTAAAACAGCGATCAATTTTTTTTAAATCGTGATTGTGAGTTAATGGCAATTAATCAACAGCCCTAATTTAAACCAACTCGGCTTTTATGAAAAAAGTATGACATGTAGAAGAGATTATGGCATCAGGTGTTTTTGTAATGATCTACTAGAATTCATCTGGGAGGGCTGTTGGACTAGTTACAGCTCATCCACACCGCAACATCTGATCAAACTTGGTTAAGCTACAGCACATCGTGTTCTCTCTAACACACACTTTTGGTTTGTTCTTTTCCCATCATCAGCAAGACACTTTTTTGTAAGAACTTCACTCCCCTGGGAATCCTGCCAAAAGGCATCAGAATTTCTCAATACAGAAAGCAGGACTGTCCTAAAACCAATTAATTAAAAGAATGCCTCAAAAAAAATTAGTTAGGAAACAAAATCTTGCAAAAAATTACAAATTTTTATCCCCGAGTAATTTATTGCTCAGATCTGTCAAGAGATCTGTTAAACTTTCGAGAACTTTCATGTACATAAAGGTGGAGTCACAATTAAATATTCGTGTTACGAAACCAGACACTTACTGTTTGATCTGTTCCAGCTTGGTCTCCTCTGCCTTGATATAATCTTTCAGTGATGTCACTAGATCTTTTTCTGTGTTAATTAAGTCTGTCATGTGACCTAGAGAGGAAGCAATGATTTCAACTGATTATCAGATCTCCCTGCTCCTCATCATTTAGATCTCTCTCTCTCTCTCTCTCAAACCCCAGTCCACGAACATTCTCTAGTCCCGGAGATCTCCCTGACAGTTTAGTAAGGGAGCGAGCTGGTCCCTGGTATCAAAAAGGCTGAGAAACACTGTTTTAGAATGATTTCCCATTGCAACAAACTTGGATGCAAAACATTCAAGAAGGTGTTTACTTGGCTAGTCATTCTTGTTATTATCCATAATGAAGCGTTCAAATAGGATTACTCTCCCATTGATGGAACTTAGAGACACACAATCCTGTGATAACCTGTTGCCTTGGAAACAAATGCAGTGTCACAAATTTAGCATTATGACTAATTCAGGACTCAATTAGTACAGAATAGACACAATGAGGGAGTAAGCTGTTATTCAAACATAACTGACCCATGGCAAGAATTATGGAGGTACACAAAGCAGTATGTGTTTAACTTGCTTTGCTTGCACTGACAGATTGGTTCTCAGCTACAGATTCATAAAGCAGTAAATCCTGCAAGAAATACAGCAAAAAGGCAGACGAACCATATAATCCTAAAGTAAACACCAGTTTAAGAAACATTTCATATATTATTAAAATATTTCAGGGAAAGGAGACAACATTGTACAGCCGAATCAAGAATTATTTCATTTACTCAATACACAAGAAGTAGTCCTCTATCCAAACTATGGGTTTGAATCCAATACCTCTTGTCATTTTAAGAACTGAAGTGATTGACGGTTAAGAAACATTTCATATATTATTAAAATATTTCAGGGAAAGGAGACAACATTGTACAGCCGAATCAAGAATTATTTCATTTACTCAATACACAAGAAGTAGTCCTCTATCCAAACTATGGGTTTGAATCCAATACCTCTAAACATATACCGTGGATATGTATCCTGGCCTCTTGTCATTTTAAGAACTGAAGTGATTGACGGAAAATTCTCTCTCAAAAAAGAAAAAAAGTGAGGGCACTAAGAACTACTAGTGCATTTAGAGCTCTGATAATTTAAAGCACACAACTTCATCTTTAATTACATAACCAGAGTCAGTTATGAAAGTTGGCAGACAGAACTCTGCAGTTCACTGTACATACAGAAGCAAATCTTACCAATTGAAGTGAAGAAGTCCATATGGGCATAAGAATGAGGCAGCAAAAAGCTCAGGACTAAAGAACACCAAACCTTTATGCATGCCATAGTTCAACAGCTGTTGCTTCAGCACACACCCCTACAAGAGAAATATAGTCATTAGCAGATTTTTTTATGCATGATAGCACTTAGCCAGATTTTACTCACAATTAGGATAAAGCTGCTTTTTTATTCACACTATTTCAACTGATATTATTTACCCAACACCAGCTGGCTCTGCTAACAAGAATAAGTTATCATAACCAAACACTTGTTCTCTAACCAACCTGCAGCAAGCACATAATGTAGGAGGAGAGCCAGAGAACAGAGCCTGGGGACTTCCATGCTTGCACCTGATCTAAATTTATCACCAGGGCAAAATTCTCTCTGGTGTAATCCCACGGAAGCCAATGGAGTTTGCTCCCCAAACGACCCAGTTCCGCTCTTCTTTATTCAAAGGAAGCTGTATCCACATATTTTGTGCCGTTAAGGTGCCAAAAGAAAGTCTTCAAATGAGAAACAGAGTGCCTATACTGTTAGGGTATGTTTATACTGTA